GCCATTATAAAGCAGCTGCTATCCTGACATCTGTTTCCTCTACTGTATGTTGTGTTCTGTCTTATCCTGCAGGGATTTAGGGAAAACTTGTGACAGGAGAAAAGCAGACTAGCAGGGACTTCCAGTCAATCTTTATTTCATGATGCTATTCAGTTGTGCTCTTAAAAAAAAAAAAAAAGAGAGAGAAAAAAAAAACCCCAAACCAAACCAAACAAAAAACCAAACCAAAACAGCTGTCATGATCTGTTATTACAACTGATTATCCTGAACATCTAGATTGATTTGTGCCTTCGATGTCAAAAGAAAACCAAACAGCATTCTTTTTTTTCCTTCCGTTTCCCTTTCTTCCTGCCAGTGCTCCGTTACTGGGGTGGTGCCAGAATCCTGTAGGGAGAATCGGTTACCGCCTCTTGTTTTCTGCTGGTGTCTTTCACCTACCTTTCTCAGCTCACAAACAAGGAGGTCTTCTCTCAAGGAAAGTCCTCAGAACTTTGACTAGTGTGATTTCTTCTGATTTAAGCATTATTGTGTAGCATACAGTGCATAGTATGTGTTTGGTTTGTCCTTTGGTGAATTTACCTTACAAGGAAGAACCAGTCCTTGAACCGAGTTGAAGCTTAAACTGTTCAGGTGAAGTCCAGATTGAACAACGTTTTTCTAAGTCATATTCTAGATTCCCAGTAGTTGGAATGAGTGTTCCTGCAGAGGGGGAGAATATTGTTCTGTAAAGGTGCTTTTGCAAATTATACTACATGAAAAGATTTTGAGTCTTATTTCTACTTTCCAGACAATGGCTGCAAATTATACTACATGAAAAGATTTTATGAGTCTTATTTCTACTTTCCAGACAATGGCACTTGGCCTTTACAAGTGCTTATACTTCTAAAGATCAGATGTTGGGAGTTCACTTCTTGTAGGTTAGTTGGTTTGTGACATTATGTGAATTAGGACTTTGGGCTGTATAGTACTAGTGTTTCCTTCACATTTTACAGAATGATGTTATATTGAATCTATAAATTAGAATTCAGAAGAAAAATTGGAGTTACATGTCTCTGTGGAATGAGGAGTTTTATCCAGCTTTCATTAAATTATAATCTGTAAATGAACTTTATACATACTTCTGGCACCTATGATGACCCATTTCATTTCTTCCTTTACTGCCAGGTTAGCTGTGTGGGAATTACACAAGTTAATTTTCATTTCTTCCACATCCCTGTAGTTCTCTTCTAATGGATATTCCTTTTTGAAGGAGTCGCTGCACATTTTTTGATACATACATATTAAGAGCACAGTCCAGGGAGCAGGCTCAAGCATTGCATACCGATTGACCTGCACTTGGCAAATGTCTACTGCTGGCATTAGATCTCTTGTAATTTCGTGCTGCTCAGCTGCCCTGCCGTAAGAACAGCTCGTGCTTCATTCTTTCCAGATAGCCTTGCAGCAAGAGAGAATGCCTGTCTAGGAAGGTCTTCCTGGCAAACTTGACTATCCAGCACTGACCGCGTAAAAGTACCACAAAAGCAAATGGAATATTTGACGAGTACAGGATATTCGGGTATTGGGCTGGGTATGGTGTGCCTCTTCAGGCTGATCTGTGGGGAGGTATGCAGTAAGCATTACATCTTGAAGCTTACCCGGAACATTATCAAAAGCCTACCTCTGAGCTCAGGCTTATGGACAAATAGTTTTAGGTGTGAAGGAATTTGAGCTATGCTGCTGCTTTAAGCTTCTTCTCAAACTTCATACAGAGCTGGAGCATTGTGCACGGGTAATATTTGTTTTCAAAGTGGAAACGTTGGTTGGTTTGAAATTTTGCTCTGCCGCTATCCTGCCTTTCCACTATTCCTAACTTTTTCATTCATCCAAAAGGTACCTGGATTGCTTTCCTTGTATTATTATGTAGGCGAGGCATTAGAAATTATTTCATCAGGCCTCTAGAAAGCTACATTTGTTATGACCAAAATGACTTCTTCGTGTATTTTTGGTCTGCCTCTCCCATTTT